ATGCAGAGCGCTGTGATCACTCCTCTGAAAGTTTATTATTAACCTAAATGAACTTAAAATGCCAAAATCTGCCAGCAAAACGTGTCCACTTTTATTATCCTGGTGCCTGCAGTTTGGTTTACGTACATAAAAATGCCTTCCAGCTGCAACGGGATTCCCAGTGACAGAGCACCGCCGGTGTACGGGGGTCTGAGGCGGTTCCGACAGCGAAATAATATTTGAAGTCAGGATGGTAATCTGGATGAACTGACTGCACTGGCCATGTTTTCAGGTGGACTTTCTCACTTCCAAATAGATTCAAACTCCTTTTTACCCACTGATCACAGCAAATATAGCTGCCATTGTTACAGGCAAAGAAAGGATAGGGTAGCTCCGCCCAACGCGCATCAGACCCACTTTCCACTGCGCAGCCAGAGCAGCAAAGATACCTCAGCTGCGCGTGAGAACTAAACTTGTACAACCATCAAAAATGAAGCAGCACACACGTTTTTGCTGCTCTAGGTGTGAATAGGGTGACCAGACGTCAAGGAGACGTCTTTTTCCCGGACATGTCCTACTTTTCATTCCTTAAAAAAGTGTCGGGGAGGGGGGGGGGTTTCAAAACCGTCCGGGATTACAGTGGCTCGCTTCCTGCCATGACGTCCTGCATGAGCATTGGGGGGTCGATTCGATCATGTACCAGGGTACGTGCACGGGGGGGAGGGACAAGCAGATGACCATGATTGACGTCTCAGGAACCAATCGGGTACAACGGACCGTCTTTTGTGATTGGTTTTGTTTTATTCATTGATTTCTCACTTTAGCGGGGACCAATTATTTTAGTTTCACTTCCAGACCTTCTATTTCACTGTTTGCTGTGAGGAGATCTTTAAGGCCACATGGTAAAAAATGCATCAGAAAAGATCTCCTACTGCACCTTTAAATTGATTTTAACAAAACACACTTTCATCTAGTTCTGTATTTATCTGTCCCTTGAAAAAATTGCAAAAATTGTGGCTATCTGTGTTACAGTTTATTGCAAAAGTCCTCCTCTGCTTATGATGTATTCTGTGGCCCAAGGGTGACATTTGCTAAACTATGCAAACTCAGATGATGCAAAAGTGATGCCATCAGGGCCGTCTGGGTTTGACACGCAGGGAAAAAAAACAAAAAAAATGCATTCTTCTCCAACCGAAGGAGTGAGGATTACAGTGTTGCATCATGGGAATATAACATACAGTGTCTCATGTAGCTCAAACCACAGACATCCTAAATGCCCAACAGTTATTCTATAAACAGCCATCAGTAAACAGAATCATATAAAAATAAAACTTTTTTAAAGAAAGAGGCTAAAATCAAAGACAGCCGCTAGCTTTGAGCTTCCTACACACCAACGGCAATTAAAAGCAGCCTATTATTCATAAATGGCTTTAAATTATACATACTGTTTTTAGGCCCTGTGATATCTCCTAATTAGTCTCTATGTTGATGAAATATCTGGTGGTATATCAGCGAGGAACAGCAAATGAGGCCCAGATGCCCAGTGAAAGCTTTGTCTAATAAAGCTAACAGAAGTTACTCTGATCTCTCTCTCTCTTATAGTGTGTTGGTTGGAGTGTCTGTGCACACATACAAAACAGTTGTTTGTTCTTCATTATTTCTGTGTCCTGCTCCTGGCACGCTGCGCAGGCAGCCTGGCAGCCAATTGCTCCCATGACCCTGCAGTCTTGCCACGCTAACAAGCCAGCGACCACACAAACAGCCCGGTGAAGTGGTCGGCTAGCGCACGAGCAGCGACACAGATTCATTAAAAAAATTAAAATAATATGTTGCGTAGCTTTTCAGGTGGATGATAACACGACAGCAGAGGTTGGACGGCTGCCATTCCTTGTGGCCTCGCTGATTGTTAGCAGACATGCACAACCGAGAGTGTTGAGGACAGCAGGAGAGTCACAATCATCACAGGATCGGAAAGGAAAACATTGCTCACAAAAGCATAAGAAACGAGCCCGCTCCCTTTTCACCTGAATGCTCCTTTCTTTCTTTTATTTGCACCACAGAGCAGCAGCTAGAGCGAGCAGGCGGGAGGAGAAGCGGAGCCCAGCTGATCGGGACACAGCAGACTTCATGATGAATCACATGATCACCTGCAAGGCCTCACAGCTCCTCACTCAGGTAAGGATTACACCTCCAGAGCAAGGGGGAGGCCTTCCCCTCTCCCTCCTCCCCTCTCCTCCTTTTTTTCTCCACATCTCTCCCAACATTCCCACCACCATCTCCAGAACAGATGTCTGCAGTAACCCAGTAGCTCCCTTTGCTGTAGACACATGGAGGTGCCATCTGGAGCGGAACGCTGTTCCTCTCCAGATGGGGTGGAGCGTGTGTGTTTATATGTGCGAGAATGTAAATCAGTTAAAGAGCTCTGATATCTTTTTTTTTTCTCTGTGTGACATTTGTGAACGGGAGGAGTCTGAGGGATCCTTGTGCTCTGATGACACACCTGAGAACCTGAGCTTTGGTTTTCTTTCTGCGCCTTTCATAGACAGCTGAGCCAGGCTGACGGCAGGTGGCTGCAGCCTTCAGCTGCTCTGCCTAAACAAGCAGCTGGAACTTCATTCCCACCCTGAATATCAGGCTGCTTAATCTTTATTTTTTCTTTACATTTTTTTTACGTTACAACCACAAACTTCAATTTTTGTTCAGCCCCATTTACTTCAACCCCCCTAAATATAATCCAGAGGGCTTTAAATAGGGATTGTGTCTGTGTGATTTAATCTCAGCATCAATCCAGCTGTTCTCTGAAAGCCACAGAGGTTTGCTGGAGAGCATTAGTGAGCAACCGTCTTTTCTTTAGCAGCAACAATTGAGCTGTCATGAATCCAAACTGGAATTATATAGCAGGGCTTTGATCTTCAAAGATGCTCTTCACGGGGGCGGAGCTAGATGGAGGGCCAGGGGTGGTCATGGCCACCCTTGGCCAATCATCAGCCACCCCTGTGGTAGTATTGCAACGATACCAGTATCGGGCGGGGTATCGGTATTGGCGAGTACCAACAAATAGGGCACCGATTCCATTTTGTTCATTCATGTATTACCCATTCCAGGTAGGCAATAAAAAGTTCTACTGGATTCACTTTGTTTTAGTCTTTTTCCTGCTTCACAAAGGTAAGCAGCAGCTTGACAAAGCCATGATGACAATTATTTTACATCCAATTAGTAGGCACTTCTTCATATATACCCACACACATCTATCTCAAACAGATGGTATCGGTATGGTATCGGTATCGGTCGATACTGCACAGCCAGGAATCAGGTATCTGGTATCGGGGCCGAAAAATGGCATCGGCGCAACACTACCCTCTGGCCAGCCCTACCAGTTTTGCCCTCTAATACTGACGGTGGCAGCAGTAATAATCTCAAGTGTAATATTCTAACTTATTTAACATTTAAATTTTTCATATATTAACAGTTAATTGAAAACAATTTATTATGGTTAATTAATCACATCAATATACTACTAAAGATCCACTAGAACTAGATTCTCTCTTATGGGGTAAAGAGAAAATTATGTCTTTGCAAGTCATCTAGGAGTCTTCAGTGAAATCAGAGATAAATAACTACTTTAATAATAAGTAATCAATTAAGCGAAGATATTAGAAGATTGAAATGTTGATTTTATGCAGAACGAATATGATATGATCTGTCCTAATGGCTCACCTTAATTGTTCATTTCACTCACCTGACTAACTCTGCCTGGTTTTCAAATTATCACTCATCTTATCCACCTGCGTCTGTTGCTTTATTTTTGTGTTCCGTTCTGTTAGTTTTAGTTAGTTCTAAGGTTCATGTCCTGGTTCCTGGCGGCCAGTGGAGTGAGAGGGTTTTAGTGTCTGTCTTGTCTTTTGATCATGTCCTGGTCCTTCTCCGCGGAGCCCTCAGGGTTTTGGCTCGTAATGCGGAGAAGGTCAGTTTTACTCCCGTAAGCCTGGCTCCAAGGAGGAGACCAGTTTAAAGTCCTGCTGAAATCCTGGTACAGTGTCTTGTCTCTGTTCTGTCAACCACTGAGCCTGCCCGTCTGCATCTATGCGTACTTGCGTTGGCACGCTTCTGGAACCATTAGACTCTGGACTCTGAACCTGCCTTGTCTAGGGTTGCATACAAAATATGCAAGTAATGACAATGATTAAGGTGTTCGCCCCAGAACTCAAACTTGAAAGAATTTTGTCCCCTACAGCTTAAATTTGTTATCAAAGGCTGTAGGAAAGTGTAGTTAGTCTTTGTTTAGAAAATATGGATGTTGTGGTTGTTCATTTTCCTTTTGGAACAGTGTAGATTGACCCTGAGGTTCTGGCGCCTATCCGCTTTCGGCCCCCCTCAGTGTAGATTGGTAATTGCCAGGCAACCCTTGTTAACATTTTTTGGTTACACCTCTGGCTCTCCATACAGGCTTTGTTAGAAAGTTAGGAAAGAGAAACCTAAAAGGAATACTTCAAACTAGCATTGTGTGGGTCCGTTGTCTAAAATCACACCCAAACACATTGGAGTTGTGGTTGCAAAATGCTGACATAGAGGGTCTTTTTTGGACATAATAAAACAAATACCAATAAAATTCAGTTTGCAGGAGCTTTTGAGAATTCATACATGTTGTAAATGTGGTTGGATCCATGTTTTTAAATGCAAACAGCTCCACATTTGATTCCTTCCCCCTTATCACAACACGGAGGAGGACAGATGGAGGATGTTATGGAGCTACTGGGCTACCAAAAGACTTTGGTGAACCCGCGATGGAAAGCAGCAGAGACCCAGTAGAAAGACAACCCACACCCAGCAGCAACAGAACCAGAGAACAGGACACACAAAAGAAGGGAGCGGGAAGAGAGAGGAAGAGGAGCGGGAAACAAAGCTCTGAGAGCCCACAGGAAAGGCAGAACAGACAGAGATGCACACACAAGCTGAGGGCGGTGTGAGCGGAAAGGAGAGCAACTTATACATGTACACAGTAGAATGTTTAATGTTCTAACCATGGTAAGGAAACTGCACTCCATCGCTCTCATGCTTAATCTTCCTCTCCTGCACACTGGCCAAATGGTGCTGCACTGAAAGGCCAAACAGGGGAGAAGGGAAGAGTTAACAATGGAGGAGAGATAATGACAGAGGAAAGAGAGAAACAGATTGAGAAACAGAGCACTGGGGTTAAATCATATGGGTATTTAATAACACAGAGAGCAGCAATATTATAAAATAGTTATCAAATGGGAAGCATTTAAGAGGGAGTTTCCTTAAGCAAACCCTGAAATCAAATACTGCACCAATGAAGTCACATTGCAAATACATCCGATGAGAGAAAGTCATCATGACGGTTAGAAGCAGGGAGGGTTGAAGGTCTCACACTCTAGTCCTCAAAGATTCCTCTGGGCCTCAACACACCTGAATCCATACATGAACATTTCTCCATAAAACCTGACAGGTTTTTTTTTCAAAGATCTGAAACTTATTTCAAGAGACTTGACAACATTTTCCTTAGAGATGGCAAATTTTTTTCTTGAGACATTTTGCTGAGACCTGGCAGACTTAACATTTTCTTCAGACCTAAAATTATATTTCTGAGACCTGACAACCTTCTTCCTGAAATTTGACAATATTTTTCCTGAGACTTGACAACATATTTCCTGAGACATAAAACCTATTTATTAAGACCTCACAGCTTTTTTATTAGACATGACAAGGTTTTCCTGGGACTTGACAACTGTTTTCCTAAAAATTGACAATATCTTCTGAGACCTAAAAACCTTTTTCTCGAGACCTGACATTTTCCTGAGACATAAAACCTATTTATTGAGACCTGACAACTTTTTCTCGAAAAATTACAAGGCTTTCCTGATAGTTAACATCTTATTACTTAAGACCTGACAAGATATTTCCTGAGACCTGACAACCTTCCTACTGAAATTTGACAATATTTTTCCTGAGACTTGACAACATATTTCCTGAGACATAAAACCTATTCATTAAGACTTCACAGTTTATTTTTTTGAGACATGACAAGGTTTTCCTGAGACTCAACAACTTTTTTCTAGAAATTGACAATATCTTCTGAGACCTAAAAACCTTTTTCTTGAGACCTGACATTTTCCTGAGACATAAAACCTATTTATTGAGACCTGACAACTTTTTCTCGAAAAATTACAAGGTTTTCCTGATATTTAACATCTTATTACTTAAGACCTGACAAGATATTTCCTGAGACCTGACAACCTTCTTCCTGAAATTTGACAATATTTTTCCTGAGACTTGACAACATATTTCCTGAGACATAAAACCTATTTATTAAGACTTCACAGTTAATTTTTTTGAGACATGACAAGGTTTTCCTGAGACTCCACAACTTTTTTCTAAAAATTCACAATATATTCTGAGACCTAAAATCTTTTTCTCGAGACCTGACATTTTCCTGAGACATAAAACCTATTTATTGAGACCCGACAACTTTTTCTCGAAAAATGACAAGGCTTTCCTGATAGTTAACATCTTATTACTTAAGACCTGACAAGATATTTCCTGAGACCTGGCAAACCTTCCTACTGAAATTTGACAATATTTTTCCTGAGACTTGACAACATATTTCCCGAGACATAAAACCTATTCATTAAGACTTCACAGTTTATTTTTTTTGAGACATGACAAGGTTTTCCTGAGACTCAACAACTTTTTCCTAGAAATTGACAATATCTTCTGAGACCTAAAAACCTTTTTCTTGAGGCCTGACATTTTCCTGAGACATAAAACCTATTTATTGAGACCTGACAACTTTTTCTCGAAAAATTACAAGGTTTTCCTGATAGTTAACATCTTATTACTTAAGACCTGACAAGATATTTCCTGAGACCTGACAACCTTCTTCCTGAAATTTGACAATATTTTTCCTGAGACTTGACAACATATTTCCTGAGACATAAAACCTATTTATTAAGACTTCACAGTTAATTTTTTTGAGACATGACAAGGTTTTCCTGAGACTCCACAACTTTTTTCTAAAAATTCACAATATATTCTGAGACCTAAAATCTTTTTCTCGAGACCTGACATTTTCCTGAGACATAAAACCTATTTATTGAGACCCGACAACTTTTTCTCGAAAAATGACAAGGCTTTCCTGATAGTTAACATCTTATTACTTAAGACCTGACAAGATATTTCCTGAGACCTGACAACCTTCCTACTGAAATTTGACAATATTTTTCCTGAGACTTGACAACATATTTCCTGAGACATAAAACCTATTCATTAAGACTTCACAGTTTATTTTTTTTGAGACATGACAAGGTTTTCCTGAGACTCAACAACTTTTTCCTAGAAATTGACAATATCTTCTGAGACCTAAAAACCTTTTTCTTGAGACCTGACATTTTCCTGAGACATAAAACCTATTTATTGAGACCTGACAACTTTTTCTCGAAAAATTACAAGGTTTTCCTGATAGTTAACATCTTATTACTTAAGACCTGACAAGATATTTCCTGAGACCTGACAACCTTCTTCCTGAAATTTGACAATATTTTTCCTGAGACTTGACAACATATTTCCTGAGACGTAAAACCTATTTATTAAGACTTCACAGTTAATTTTTTTGAGACATGACAAGGTTTTCCTGAGACTCCACAACTTTTTTCTAAAAATTCACAATATATTCTGAGACCTAAAATCTTTTTCTCGAGACCTGACATTTTCCTGAGACATAAAACCTATTTATTGAGACCTGACAACTTTTTCTCGAAAAATGACAAGGCTTTCCTGATAGTTAACATCTTATTACTTAAGACCTGACAAGATATTTCCTGAGACCTGGCAAACCTTCCTACTGAAATTTGACAATATTTTTCCTGAGACTTGACAACATATTTCCTGAGACATAAAACCTATTCATTAAGACTTCACAGTTTATTTTTTTTGAGACATGACAAGGTTTTCCTGAGACTCAACAACTTTTTCCTAGAAATTGACAATATCTTCTGAGACCTAAAAACCTTTTTCTTGAGGCCTGACATTTTCCTGAGACATAAAACCTATTTATTGAGACCTGACAACTTTTTCTCGAAAAATGACAAGGTTTTCCTGATAGTTAACATCTTATTACTTAAGACCTGACAAGATATTTCCTGAGACCTGACAACCTTCTTCCTGAAATTTGACAATATTTTTCCTGAGACTTGACAACATATTTCCTGAGACATAAAACCTATTTATTAAGACTTCACAGTTAATTTTTTTGAGACATGACAAGGTTTTCCTGAGACTCCACAACTTTTTTCTAAAAATTCACAATATATTCTGAGACCTAAAATCTTTTTCTCGAGACCTGACATTTTCCTGAGACATAAAACCTATTTATTGAGACCTGACAATTTTTTCTCGAAAAATGACAAGGTTTTCCTGATAGTTAACATCTTATTACTTAAGACCTGACAAGATATTTCCTGAGACCTGACAACCTTCTTCCTGAAATTTGACAATATTTTTCCTGAGACTTGACAACATATTTCCTGAGACATAAAACCTATTTATTAAGACTTCACAGTTTATTTTTTTGAGACATGACAAGGTTTTCCTGAGACTCGACCACTTTTTCCTAAAAATTGACAATATCTTCTGAGACCTAAAAACCTTTTTTTCGAGGCCTGAAATTTTCCTGAGACATAAAACCTATTTATTGAGACCTGACAACTTTTTCTCGAAAAATTACAAGGTTTTCCTGATAGTTAACATCTTATTACTTAAGACCTGACAAGATATTTCCTGAGACCTGACAACCTTCTTCCTGATATTTGACTATATTTTTCTGAGACTTAAAAAACTATTCATTGAGACCTGCCAACTTTTCTTGAGTGGTTTTCTTGAGAGTTAACATTTTCCTCTGACCTAACAACCTTTTTCCTGAAAATTGACAATATTTTCTGACACCTGAAAACCTTTTTCTCGAGACCTGCATTTTTTCCTGAGACCCGACATCTTATTATTTAAGACATGACAACAATTTCCTGAGATCCAACGTCTTATTACTTGAGACTAGGTGTTTGGGGGAAAAAAAAATCGATTTTGCAATACAGTATATCATGATTTTTTGACTACCAATATAATATCGATCCTTAAGTTTCTAATATCGATTCTTTTAAAAATAAATTTTCCCAAAAACAATGGGGAAATATGCACTACTTCTGCACCCCCACTCCGGTATATGGGGCCATGGAGCCCTTTTGCTGTGCATGTAGTCGAGGCAATTGCAGTAGCAGATGCTGAGTGACTAAAACCCCAAACAACATGGCTACCAAACAACAAAATAACTGAATGATAAATATCTTCTACTGAGTATACAGCACTTGATTTTTGATCTCTACATTTAATTTTGACATTAGCCTATACCTTGATCTTGCAATTTGTGACAATATCGTATCCTGGCACAAGTATCGCAATGCATATCGTATCACAAAACCCTTAACAATACTCATTCCTACTTGAGACCTGGCAACTTTTTTCTTGAGACCTAACAATTTCTTTGGACTTGAAAACCTTTTTTCTGAGAACTCTCAATGTTTTCATGAGACCTGGAAACATATTTTCTAACATCTAGTCATATTTTTTCCATAGACCTGACAACTTTTCTGCTTCAGCATAACTCGTTAGCAGAGCTCGGCTTCAGGCTCGTGAGCTAGTTTAACCCTTTGAATGGGGTTTTTAGGGCAATCCTTAAGGATTAGAGTGTGAGACCACTGGGTTAGAGAAACTGGGGGTTGCTTTAAAGGGATACTGGACGACTGAAAGTGGTGAGAATAGTGAGACTGAAGGGCACGTGGGACGGTGAGTGGGAGTTAGGAGACAGAGCTGAGGAGAACTGCTCTATTTGAAAATAAGAAAGAAACGTGGCTGAGATTAAATGAATGGGTTAGGATCTTAGGATACAGATTATCCTTCTTCTGCGTCTGCATCCCTTCTATTACAAGCCTGTCTGTGTTTGTGAAAGACACAGACAGGCTTGGCGTGAAAACTGAAGCAGACAGCCAAGCCTTGATAAAGGTAACACAGTTTAAAACACTGGAGACAATCTTAAAGGAACATGTAATTCAAAACCGGTTCTTTAAACAATAAGATAAAATAAGAAGAATCTTGCTAAGTGCCTCTAAATCTGTAATCTCGCTGCGGCAGCAGATTGTCCTTCTGCCTCTGTTTGGTGGAACGTCTTTGATAAAAGTTTTTAGTGGAGTAGAAATGGGGACTAAAATGTTGGGAATGGGGAGGATGAGGAAGGAAAGCGAAGAAGAGCAGGAGATAAAAGCAACAAGTATTAAAACAGATGTTTGATGGCAGAAGGTGAGCTGCGGCTTCTGCTTCAACTAAACCAGGAGAAGAAAACATTTCTGCTATACATTTACATTTACATTTCTACTATTTCAGATATAAGGAAACATTTGACATTTCTGGAAGATATAAGATGTCGACAAACAGTTGCAAGAAGTAAGAACATAGAGACCAGAGGTTTAGATTCTATAAATATGGACAATAATATCATGGTTATTTGTAGATTTGGATGATTCATCTGAATTATTCTTTCTCCAGGAGGAAAAAAATAATAATGTCAGCCAACACACAGTGTAAAAATCCAAAACTGCAACTGGAATTGTTTTAAATAGGAAGCACTAAAACTCTCAGATGTATTTTAATTTGCTAAGGTTACTGCCAGCATCTTTTTTCTTGTGACCCTGTTGCATGGTTCTCCTCTTTTGGGACTTTGAGGTTTTGGTTTTCAGTTATCAGTTATTCTATTTTGCTGATCTTTGGTTTGTTTTCCATTTCATGTATGTTTAAAATAGTCTAATGCTACGTTCACACCTAAAGCAGCAGAGGCAGGAGAAGCAGCTGGTTTACATGCAAAGTCAATGGTTGATGCTCATCAAGGCGCAGCAAAAGGTCCTGCAGCGCATTTTGAGCAGCAGGAGCAGCGCGTCATGAGCTTCCGAGCGTCTGATGCGCGCGTCGTGCTGCAAATGCAGCTTCTGCTCGAATTGGAAAAATTTTACTTTTGCTGCTCAATGTGTCACATCAACTGATCAGAGACGCTGATCTGGGAGCCGGCAGGGAGACAGACACAGCACTGCTGATGCAGAGCGCTATGATCACTCCTCTGAAACAGTTTATTAATGCCTAAATTAACTTAAAATGTCGAAACCTGCCGGCAAAAAATGTTCGCTTTTATTATCCTGGTGCCTGCAGTTTGGATTCCGTACATGAAAACCGTCTTCTAGCCGCCGAGGCGAACCGTGAAGAGGCAACCAGGCCAGAGGCTGCTCTTGAAAGGGATTCCTAAGGACAGAGCACCGCCGGAGTACGGGGGTCTGAGCGGCTCTGACAGCGAAATATTTGAAGAAAAGATTTAATCTGAATGAACTGACTGCACAGATGAAGTTTTCAGGTGGACTTTCTCACTTAAAAATGTGTTAAAACTACTTTTTACCCATTGATCATAGCAAATATGGCTGCCATTGTTACAGACAAAGAAAGGATCGGGTAGCTCCGCCCAATATGCATCAGACCCAATTTTCGACTGTGCAGCAAAGATGCTTCACAGTGGAAAAAAATCGAAATCTAGATAAGTAATTTTTTCTTAAAATAGTCCATTTGTTGTTGGATTGAGGAGGTAAATGAGACATCTTGCCAATGGAAGAAGACGATTTAAACTAAAAATAAGAAAACACAATTGCATTATCTTATTTCAAGTACATATTATCGAATTATCTTATTTTAGGAGTAAAAATACTCATTTACCTACTCAAATTAAGGGTGAATACACTTAATTTAAGATATTTTTTTTACTTATTTCTAGATTGTTTTTGCAGTACATCCATGTGTCAGAACTAAACTTTTACAAGCATCATAAATGAAGCAGTACCCGCGTTTTTGCTGCTCCTGCTGCTTGCGGTGTGAACGTAGCATAACTCCTATTTTTCTGAGATTGGAGACCTGACAGCTTTTTTTTCTACTGAGAACTGAAAACTTTTCCTCAGACATAAAAATATCCTAAAATGTACAACATAAATTCAGCAGGCAACATAATCCGCAGCTCAAAGCCAATTGTTACTTATACCTTTAAGATAATCTCATGCATCCAGTCAGAATTATAACTAAAAGCTGCTTGGTAATAGTAGATGTAAGAAATATTAGACAATGTTTATGTAATTGTGACCCTCTGTGGACTGAGGAAAAGCAATAATAAGTTATTGATCCTTAAAAACCTCCAAAATATCCAAAATAACTTCCTTTGCACAATGAGTACATTTCAGAATAAAATTAAAAACATTGTTTTACAACCAGAATAATATCATTTGAGATAAAAAATTTGTAACATGAATCCAATATTTCCAAAAATGTCAAATGATTCCTTTAATCCCAAAGGAAAACCTCTGGAACTTAAAACTGATCAGGAAAGCTAAACCAGAATCCTTTATCTAAAAAAACTCTGAACACGTTCTCGTCACTAGCGACGCCTCAGCCCATCTCCTGCAGAGGCCGCAGTGATGTCACACTTCCAGTAACAATACCTGCGTCCACATCGTTAGGCCAACCGCTGGACTGAGAGCTGCTGCCGGCCGCGGGGGAGCGGCCCGAGTAAAACACATCATCCACTGGGCTCTCCATCTCACTGTCATCGATGGACTTGCGCTTGTTGGAGCTGAGAATTGGAACAAGAAGGAGAGAAACATGAGAAAGCTTGTTTTCCAAGTGTTGAAAAGGAGAAGAGGAAGGACATTAAGGGTGTTACGTCTGTGTGTGATATCGATGGTGGAACCTACTTGCAAAAGTTTTCACAGCTTTTAAAAATAAACAACAGATCCTATAGGAGGTGTCGACACAAAGAGGTGCAGAATTGTGAATCATATTGAAAATCTGAAAAGTGTGGCAGGCGTTTATTTGTTTTATCCATACATCCTCTGCAGATTTTTTCCGAGTGTCTCTCTACCAGATCTACTGGTAACAGTGAAGCTCTGGATATATAGATCCTTCGATAATAACAATCCAGTATTTGCTGTTTTTGGATATGATGAAATTTTTTTTTCATATTGGTGCATTCCTACTATTAATACCATTTTTTTTTTTTGCTGGTGAAGATTCTCAGTCATCCAGGTCATAGTCATTCCAAAAAGAAGAACATTAAAAACAATCCACTGGGCTTTGAACTCAACATTATTCCTGACATTTTGAATGTAAAAAGCTTCCTGGAATGGAATCGAAACATCTGCAAACTTGGAAACAAAGTCCAGTGATTTTTAATTTTCTTTTTTTTTTGAATAATTTTCTTTTGTCTTTCTTTCGTTATGCCCTAATATATGCAGATCCATTCTCTGCTAAAAGTAGACTAAATGTACGTAAAGTTTTAGGTGAGTGTATCTGCACATGATTTGAGGAGATAAGTGAATAATCTGCTGACAGAAAATGATTTTTGCAAAACCACAAAAAACATTTCCATTATTTAACATAAAGTACGGTTTATGTATGTATTTTAGAGGCCCAAATACTTCTTTCATTGGCAAATATTCAACTTACCTGCTTAGATAAAAGGTTTAGATGATTCTTTCCAGTGTTGAATAAAATCCCCCAAATCATTAATACATTTTAATGGCTGTAATGTAATAAAATGTGAAAAAGGCCTCAGGCGTATGAATGCTCCTGCAATGCACTGTGTTTGAGATTCTAATAAATGTACATGCATAATTCCCATGGACCTCTGAGGGCTGACGTGGCTGCATAATTCCTCGGGAGTCCGAACAGGGGTCTGCATAAAAATCAAGACTAATAAAAAATTCCCCATGTCAAGATTTGTGTTTAGTGTGTTGTTTTAATATTATGTTACAGCCAGAGGGACAGAGAGGGCCAGCTGGAGACAGTGTGACAGGAACAGGGCTAAAATATTAACAAAATGCCGGCCTCACGTTAGAAAGCAGACCGACTGATCCCAAACACGCATTGTTGTGCGAGTTGGCGGATTCTTATACATCTGTGACCAATAAAGCAACGGGGGGTGCTGCCAGTGTACAGAACGCACGTATATGAGTGACAGCGTGCGTGTGTTGGGTTTGTTCGAGTGCGATGGAGGGATCTGTGTTACATTAGTGTCGGGGGAGATATTTTGCAAAGAGTGTAACTACCTCCGTGGGAGACTTGCATAAAGCTCCATTTCAGTCCTGCAGCGTAAGACGAACGGGGAGGAGAGAGCAGAGAGAGCGAGAAGTAAAAACAGACACGGACACAGACGGGGCGAGAGAGAGACAGAGAGAGAGAGGGAGAGGTTGGCGGGGAAATGAGAGGCAATGAGTTGGAATGAGTGAAGAGGAAGGAAAAGGGAGAAGAAAGACGACAATCAGAAGCAAAGCAAGAAAAATTTCAAGAACAAACTGAGAACAAACAGGCATCACTCTATGATGATGCCTGTGGCTCATTCTGAGTGAGAGAGAAACCAAGCAGATAACAGGAAGGCTGAACGATATAACGTTTTTAGCTTCCAATTTTTGAAATCTGGTGTAATCTTATAAATTTCAGAGTTATTCTATAGATCTACATCTATGTTAGCTGCACTGAACACGAATATCTTAAAGTAAACATCAGGGATGCACAATACTGAAATTCTGGCTGACATGCTGGTGTTTAAATCATTCAACTTGCAGATAACTGCTGCTAACCTGCTTACATAGGCAAGGTAAGGCAAGTCAAATTTATTTGTAAAGCACAATTCAGTACAAAGACAATGCAAAGTGCTTTACATGATTAAAATACAGGAAGATAAAACAGAATCAAAGCAAGTAGAAAAATAAATAAATACATAAATAAAATAAAATAAAAAATGCAGAAACAAAAAAAGAATATTAAAAACAGTTGGAAGTTTTTGTTAGATTACATTTATTTATTTTACATCTGGAGTAAACTTTGTTCTAAGAACACGTTTTGTAAATGTGTTCTGAAATGAAACTGAAAAATCTCATAATCAAAAAAAGGACTTGAGGCTAACTGCTGTCGTTCATTTTTTTTGCATTATGTTCTATATTTAACTACCATATAGAATTTTTTAAAACATATTTTTAATTAATCAAATTCTTTAACAATAAAAAATCTTCAATGAATTCAAAGGATTAGTTGCAACCCTAGAAACAGTTGAGTTTAATTGGCGGAATGTCTGATATTCAGTTTTAAAGCTAATATCGGCTGATTATATCAGCAATTCCTGCTGGATACCTTGTAAAAAAGTCACCTTTGTATTTATTCTGTCTTTACCATAAAGGCTAGAGAAAAAAAAACAAATCGATAGCAGTTCTTACCGTCACTACCCGATCCGTCCAGGAAGCAAAATCCGTTCGGCGGATCAGCTCATTTGCGCATCCAGATATACATCCGGGTCGCCCTCGATTTTATTTTGTTAAAAAGACCTAAATGATGTTTTCCCTCCCAAAAAGAAATACGCATACTAAACTATAATGTGTTAAAGGTTAATAATGTATTTCCTGGGAAAACAAATGCATTAAAATCCTTTCTTTTTTTTCAGTCGTGTCCGATCCGCACAGGAAATGGGATCCTGCGCTACTTCCGGGAGCTAACTTTTTCGGCTTTGGATTTAAACATAAATCTAGTCTTTTTGAGGTCTATGCTTTTGTTTTGTGTTAACTTTATGATATATGGTGCGTAATCTGAAGAAAGAAACAACTAAAATTCAGATAAACATGGTTTAATCATATTTTGTCCTATGATGACGACAGAGAAGCAGTTGAACGAAGAAAATGTAAAAAGCATCAAAATTGTCTTACAAAAGTCAAAAAACATTATTTAAAGATGCGTATTAGCATTCTTTAGAGAGTTAAAGATTAAAGAAGTAATTTTAGTCCCATAATTACAATATATATGGACACACAATGTATATCTGTTTGCGCATGTGCAGGACGGATTGTGCTTCTGGATCTGATAGTGAAAGTTGTAAACAGAGCTATGAACCTAAATCCGTTTTTTTTCCAGGTCAAAGGTTAGAAAGGAAACTGATCTGTAATCAGTGGTACCAACAGGAATGTGTTGGAGGTGGATGTACCTGGTGGAGGGGGTGGAGGTGATGGAACGGCGTCCCAGGGTGACCTGGTTGATATTGTAATAGCCCGGGCTGTCCAGGTCTGCCAGGGAGAAGTTTGGGCCTGTCGCCGTGGCCACGGGAGCTGAGACATGCAAACATAGAGATCCCGTCACACAGCAGAAAACCACACAGATACTCATTCATTTGAGGCTGAAGTTTTTAAGCGTGACCAATGAACAGATTGTTTCTGCCTGGTTGGGGTCAGCTCGCCTGCTGAGGTTCACTGAGGTCTAATAAATGTTTCACAGTTAAATACCATTTTACTGTAATTTCACTTTAATTGGTACAGGGGTTAAAACCCACGAGTCCCTGTGTTTCTAATCTATGTGTGACGTTTGAATGCTGCAACCTGTGGTAGCTGGGGTTGGACGTCTCTGATGCTTTGTGGTGGGGAAGCTCAGAGCGCGGTAACCGCTGCGGACAGGGAGGCTCATACGGCCTCTGTGAAGTGGCCGACTTTCAGCAGAACGCTCTAAGGTTCAGACTTCTTTTTTTCAATTCTATTTTTATTGTTAATTTCAATGTTAAACAATACATGTGTCATCTAAAGCTATCTGTTCATTACAATAGCATTCTCTAGCTAGACAATTGCAATTCCACAGGATATACAGATAGGGATGATTGGTTCTTCCTTTATTACAGTCATTAAAAGAAAAACAGGAAGAAATTAAAAAACAAAGATTATGAACACAACTCCTTTGGTTAAGAACAAAAATAATGCTACTCTGTTATACAATGGGAAAATTACTGATGGTGATTTACTGATTTACTAATTTACTGTTGCATGAAGGTGGAAAAATACGATGGAGTATTAGGAACAAGCTAGAGATTTTTTTTCTACTATTTCGAGAATAAGGTCCTAACATTACGAGAATAAAGTTGCAGCAAGAATAGTCATAAAATTACGAGAATAAAGTCGTAAAATTACGTGAATAAAGTCGTAAAATTACGAAAATAAAGTCATAAAATTACGAGAATAAAGTTACAACAAAAATAGTCAAAATTATGAGAATAAAGTCGTAACATTATGAGAATAAAGTCGTAAAATTACGAGAATAAAGTTATAAAATTACGAGAATAATGAAATTTTGAGAAAAAAGTCGTAATATTATGAGAATAAAGTCGTAAAATTACGAGAATAAAGTTGTAAAATTACGAAAATAAAGTTTTAAAATTATGAGAATAAAGTCATAAAATTACAAGAATAAAGTCGTAAAATTACGAGAATAAAGTTGTAAAATTATGAGAATAAAGTTACAACAATAATAGTTAATATTATGAGAATAAAGTCATAACATTATGAGAATAAAGTTATAAAATTATGAAAATAAAGTTACGAGAATAGTGAATTTTTGAGAAAAAAGTCGTAATATTATGAGAATAAAGTCGTAAAATTACGAGAATAAAGTTGTAAAATTACGAGAATAAAGTTATAAAATAATGAGAATAAAGTCATAAAATTACGAGAATAAAGTCGTAAAATTACGAGAATAAAGTTGTAAAATTACGAGAATAATGAAATTTTGAGAAAAAAGTCGTAATATTATGAGAATAAAGTAGTAAAATTACGAGAATAAAGTCGTAAAATACGAGGATAAAGTTGTAAAATTACGAGAATAAAGTTATAAAATAATGAGAATAAAGTCATAAAATTACGAGAATAAAGTCGTAAAATTACGAGAATAAAGTTGTAAAATTACGAGAATAATGAAATTTTGAGAAAAAAGTCGTAATATTATGAGAATAAAGTAGTAAAATTACGAGAATAAAGTCGTAAAATACGAGGATAAAGTTGTAAAATTACGAGAATAATGAAATTATGAGAATAAAACCACAGGGTTTCATTGTACAGTGTGAGTTGACAGTTCGAAATGTATGTTCTCACACTGTGCGGCCCGACGCTCTGATGCGATCTACCTGCTCACACTGTACGTCTATAAACCATGTGGGACTGAGCTCCGCAGTGAGACGGCGCTACTTGGACTTGTCTATCCTGAAGCCAAACCAGTAGAAGAGGAATATGAAGCTCACTAGAGTGAAACGAGCTGCCTTGGCAAACTGTGGAATTTTGTGCTGAAAGCTCTAAAAAGAAAAGGCGACGACATATTTGAAAAAAAGACATGGCTGAGCAAACGTGGCTACTACGGTCTGTAAGATTTGAAGAAAGAACTCCATTTCATTTGCACCCCCGCCATGCTTCTTTGTTTTCATCTGAGAGGAAGAAGAAGAGTCCTTGTTTGCCCTCTTAGCGTTTTGCCCATGACTATCTTATGACAGTTGAATGAATTTCAATCGTGTTTGATTTTCTCCGGATGTTACGATTCCTGTGAGGGAAGTGATGGTGAGAGGTTGATCGCCCCTCGCTACCCCCTGTGCACTACACGACGCACCATCAGGCTGGAAGTCGGACCAATTCTCGTTGGAGAACTGTCCCGAAAAGGGCAAAAAATCGTACAGCGTAAGCCCGGCTAACGCCGATCATTTCCACTTGGTTCCTCAGCTATATATGTTGTTTGCTTGCCTACTATCAGCATCAGGTTATTGGAGCAGTTTGTGAGATTAACTCTAGCATTTAGTTTATTATTCTGATTCTCTGATCCTGACCTGTTTCAGCTGTTGGGTCTTCTGAGTTTTTGCTTTGTCCCTGTTTTGCTCTTAGTTTGATCTGTTCTGGACTGATTCCTGGATTCTGCCGGCTTTCTGAACTTGGAGCTGTCTTCTGACTCCTGCTTTGGATTTCCCATCATGGACACTGTTGCTGCTACATATGATTTAGTAAATGCCAAAAGTGGTTAGATAATTGTTTTCAGTGTTCCTCCGGAATCGGACTGAACTGAGAACCAGGTTAGTGACTTATGCTCGTAGTCGTGGCCCGTCTTAGATTTAAAGTCACTAACCTGAGTTTCTATCTTTGCCAGAGGATCCAGCTGATGAGCAGCCCCTGCGTTTCTGTCTGTGTTTGAATAAACGCGTTGAACTCTCCCACTGCCTGTCTCACCTTGAATATTGGGTCCAACGTTCTGAAATCATTATAGTTCGGTGTGCAGGCGCAGTTTTGGATCTTCTCTGTTACTTTAGGTTGTTTTATGAGCAACAAACTATAATTTCTCCAAACTAGAGAGTTTCCTACAGCTGGAAAGATATTAGCAGATATTTATCTGCTAATATCTCTGCTTCTGTCTCCTTGAACCCCAGTTGGCCTCGGCAGATGGCCGCTCACACTGAGCCTGGTTCTGCTGGAGGTTTCTTCCTGTTAAAAGGGAGTTTTTCCTCTCCACTGTCGCTACAAGCATGCTTAGTGTGAGGGATTGTATTTGAGTCAATGAGTCGATGCAATCAACTGGTTATCCTTTGATAGAAAACTTTATATCAATTAAACTGTATGATCTGGTGAACTGTGAAGTGCCTTGATATGAGATGTTGTGAATTGGTGCTATAGAAATAAACTGGATTGAATTGAATTAATCTCTACAGAGAACCTAAAGATTTCACCAAACATGTCTGCATCTTTTCTAGTGATTACATAGCAGAAAATGCTATTCTAAGAACCTGACTGCAAATATTTTTCTTATTTTATTGATTTTCTAACAGCATAATATAATTTATCGAAGCTGTTTTATCATAAAATCTGGTTTCCCCTGACCTGCACCAAGCTCCCACACATAGGTTTTACATGAAAATGCTCTGAGTCTGCTTTTGATCGGGAACAGAGATGCAGGCTGATATTAGAAATCACAGCAATGACTCACTCTGCGACACGCGGACCAGCTCCGCCACGTTCCACACCCCTGAAGTCACAAAGCAGTCCTGGAAACTCAAGTGGCCTGGGTAAAAAAGACGGAGAAAGACGAGTACATCAGGAGCGGATTGTCTGGGAGATACAAAACACCAAATATGGATGAAATTTCAAGCAACGCATGAGACGACACAATGGGTACAAAAAGGAAATGCTATACAGGCTGCTGCTGTGATCCAGCAGGGAAACATGTGTTTTCTATAAGATTAAAAACATGACATAATGTAACACATCTAATCAGGTCTGGATAAAATCTACAAACATACATCTATGACGAATGACGTATTGCACGTTATTTATATGCAATGCTTTACAAAAGTATTCACACCCTTACATTTACATCCCATCATATACATCAAATTTCAGGAGACAAACTGGAAACAGACAAAATATTAGATATATTGTTGAAGTGGAAGGAAGATTACTTTAATTAATTTAAAGTGACCCATAACGAATGTCAGAGTATAAAAGCATAAGTATAAAAATAAGAGTAGAAACCTTTGATGGCGGTAGAGGAAATGCTGAATCTTGATTTTAACATTTACATGAATGCAATATTAATGCTGTTTTTACTTCTACAGGGTTTATACAGGAATGAATAACTCTAATTTGATGCTTTTAATGCTCTTTTTTAATGCACTTAGAAAACATTTTTATGCCATCAACAAGTACCCATAACACAGCAAAGTCGTTCGTCATCTTTACCGTCAGTTCCTCGTTCTCCAGCCAATTTTGTTCAAACGTCCATTTTCCCATTCTCTTGTTTTTTCTCCGCCTCAAGCTCCTTTTTCAAACATTTCTGAGCAATCAGTTCCACGCAAATACACAGAACCAGTTATATCTAATATAATATATCTGACCACATTTTTTTTAATAAAAAAATCTTTTTTTAAATAAAGCATTTTAAATGTCACGATAATCACATTTAATGAATTTTAATGCATATTAGGGCCTTAATTTAATAAATAATTTTATGACCTTTAATGATTTTTAATGACTTACGAAAACCCTGTTTAAACGTTAATGAAACATTATGGCGTTAGCATCGAGGAGACCCAGCAGCAAAAATTTAGAGGATTGGGAGAACATCATTTGGAGCGCTCTAGCATCCAAGATGGCGGATGCCGGAGATGGTAAATCTGTACTTTTGCAGTTGGACGCTGAGCGCCAACCAACTAGAGAAGCTGATTCAGTCTGGGACAAAGACACGACACCCCAGCTGTGATCTCTGTTTCTGCAGAGCATAAAGCTATGAAAAATGCATCCATACAACAGTAATTGCATTGAAAGTAATTAATTTGCATTGTTAGGGTAACACTGTAAGACTTAAATTTAACACATAGTGCATTTGGTCCCACTCTCAATTAGTGTTAAATTAAACTCTACATAGTTTATATCTTACTCCAGTTATTGTAATAAGTATAAAAAAATGAATGTACTCTGACACTGAATATTTAAAGTGGTAGGGAATCCTATTCCAACCGTTGCATTTTCGAATTCTCCCGAGTGGTGCCCGATTTTACACGATTGAATAAAGTTTATGTGATTGGTCTGTTATCAAGGGGGCGAGATTGTTGTGGCGGAAGTTTCACAAGCAAGTTTAATTGTGGCCGGTTTGTCGGAAGCATCTTGCTAACCAGTTAGCAACTTAGTGCTAGTAGGTTCCCAATGGGAAATTCCATTGGGACCAAGTAGCACTAAATTGGTGACTTGGTTCCTTGACACTGTCAAGGAACGCTATGGATAGAGGAAACATGCAAGAGGAGGAGAGTTTAGTGTCGGAGGTCATGGATGAGTCTCCTCCATCATACATTTTTTATTTAGAGGAGGAAAGCGGGGACGAAGATGTGGAAGAGGACGTCAGGGCGGCAGAAGCTTGGTTTGGTGTATTTAGGTGTTCAGGCTGACGTATAACTAACTGGCCTACATAAGATAACGAAGAAAAAAAAACTGATTTTAAGACAGGATTCTTTTTCAAATAGAAATTTTCTAAATTTAGGGACAATATCGTCTGATAAAGAGTACATTTATATACATGCTTAAGTCAGAATGATTTGACATTTAAATATGGTTTCCCTACGACTTTAACACTGTGGAATTTACTGTGTATAAATGGGTTTAACTCCATTGGTTTTACCTAAAAAGCCAGAATAATAGATTTGCATGTACTGAGAAAAGTGATAGCTCTGATTATTGTTGGGCCACTTAAATATTTTTACTAAACTGTGGTGAAACAGTTAACAAATACCTACACTGACGAAAAATGTCAAGATCTGTCAGTAAAAAATGCTCAATTTTATATTATGGGACTTGCAGTTTTTACCACACTTCTATAAAACAGACTCTCTGCATCTGACTGCACTGATGGTGCTTAGATGTGGACTGTATTGCTTAAAAAAAATAAAATAAAACTACTTTTTTCAAACTCCTCAAAGCAGATAACACCAAGAAACAGAGCAGCTCAACAACTGGAGCATCGAGCATCCAGAGCATCTGACACGCGTCCAAGTGGAGATGCTTCATGGCATTACTTGATGTGAACACTTTGTAACTTAGGGTTCTGGCCAGCGTATTTTAATCTAGTGAGCCGCTACGCTGAAATTAGGCTGATAAGCTCACCTCTTATAAGCATATCGGCCCTTAAATGGCACCTTGGTGCCCTCCTACATGGTTCTTTCCAGCGCACACTGCAAAAACTATCTAAAAATTAGTACAAATTTCTTAAATCAAGTGTATCTACTCTTAATTTAAGTATGTAAATAAAATGATTTGCCAATGGAATGAGTATTTTTACTCTTAAAATAAGATAATAAGATAATATGCACTTGAAATAAGACAATATAATATTTTTTTTCTTATTTTAAAAGTAAATTGCCTTCTTCCATTGGCAGTTTCTAACTTACCACCGTAATTCAAGAAAAAAAGCACTTATTTTAAGAAAAATAGGACTTATTGAGATTTACATTTTTTTGCAGTGCATTTGATCGTAACTGTTATGTTATGTTGAAAGTCGTCAAAATGACTCTTAAATTAGGCCAATATAGTGAATTGCAATAAGCGTGACAACTTATATGTGTTTTTTAACACATTTACCTCATTGTTTGCAAATAAGGGTAAGAAAAGGGCTCCCAACTTATCAGTGGACAGAGAGAAACCTGTTGGATGTCCAAGCTTGGAAGGATTCCCAAAAAACTGGTCTGTCAAGCCAAACTGGCCGATGGTCTCAGTGATTTTTTTTTTGTCTATCCAATAAAACGCAGCATCATTGCTGTGCCAGTGGGTAGCCACTGCTGCCTCCCTGTGTCACACATATCGGCTGCAGGTGGATCAGCTGGACTCACTAAATATATCTGATATGAACATCTGTCAGGATGGAGAAAAAGTCAAAAGATATGGATGCAGCAGAGCTGTTATTCTATTATGAAAGTAATAAATTGTCTTTTGCATTTTTTAAGAGGTCTGCTCTGCAGGGGTTAGTTGAGTTTGCATAGTGTTTATCTTAGCAATGGCAATCTCATCACAATTAATCTGTATGAATTACTTTATCTTAGGTTTACGCAAAAAAGCGCATACCAGTAATATTAGTATTCAATAGTTCTGATAAGTTGTCATGCTATAAAATATATAAAATATTTTTTACAGATTACTTTAATAATTTGCATGGAAAACTTTGTAGTCCATCCATCTCTATAGTTATGCTGCTATAGGCTTAGGATGCTGGAGGACATAGGGTCCACTTTTCATCATTCTTCTTCACTCTGTTGTAAATTTCTATGTAAATGATTCATTTATTCAACCCCTATTTTTTAGTTCTCTCTGCCTTTTCACATCTAAGTAGCCTCATCTTGCCTGGACCTGTTAAGCTGTGACACCGTACTAAAGGGAAATATTAGCTGCCATCTACACTTTCCAATATGGATAACAGAGTTAGGCCTGCTTTTCAGTGCTTAGTCCTGCTTCTCTCCTAGACATAGCTATGGGCTCAGCTTTTGCCACTAAAAGTTGAGCCCATAGCTATGGCTTTAATGATCAGACGTTCATCGTCCATCTTCAAGAGCCAAATGCTGAAGTGTGTGTTCCCAGACGAATCTGTCTGATGATGGACCTAAGTGGAAATCACGTTGGGTTTCCCCTGCTGTCAGAGCTTTTAATTTGTATTTCCTATGAAATTGCCTCTGAATAGTTAAGTAGTCTGACTAAAATAAACCTGAGGTCTTGGTCGGAGTTACGCCAGCCTCCTAGAAGAAAATCATATCAGGTGTGTTCATCCCCATTCACTCTCAATGTGTGCCACAACCTCTTACGAAACAATTTTCTGTCGGAAAATTGTATTTGGGCCTTTCAAGGCTTAACTGTATGTGCTTTTATCCCTTTGACATGAATGCTGCCCCTGAGCTCATCTGTGTAACTCTTTCTTTCACAGACAAAACTTTCTATGGAGGTAATTTACTGTTGCCTTTTCTAACATAGAAAGTATTTATAGATAAGTTCTTCTATGTTTCCTTTGTGTGCTTCTGTCTCCTTAAACCCCAGTCGGCCTCGGCAGATGGCCGCTCACACTGAGCCTGGTTCTGCTGGAGGTTTCTTCCTGTTAAAAGGGAGTTTTCCTCTCTACTGTCAATACATGCATGCTCGGTGTGAGGGATTGCTGTAGAATCACAAGAAAATGCAAATCAATATCTACTGTCACCACATGCTCATGCTTTTATAAAAAATGGGTTTCTATTAAAGGTTAGACTGTGGTTGGTAAAAGTAATTTTTAAATAAAAAACAAAGAATTGACAAAGATTAGATTTTTTTTTTTACAGATTACTTTAATAATTTCCATTTAAAAACCTATTATAACATTTTTTAGTCAATCTTTTAGTTCATTTAGTTATGCTGCTATAGGCTTAAGCTGCTGGAGGACATAGGGTCTACTTTTCATGACTCTGCTTCATTTTATCTTTAATATAAAATTTTATGCCCATTATTCTTTAATTCAACCCTAACTTTTTTTTCTTCTTTTTTTTTAGGTGTTAAGGCACTAGTGGCTCGTTTTTGTGACAGTAGGCTGACAGGAAAGGGCATATGAGAGAGGGGGAGAGACATGCGGCGAAGGACCACAAGCCGGATTCAAACCCGGGTCGGTGCCGCGTCGAAGAATAAAGGCCTCCGTACATGGGTCGTGTGCACTAACCACTGCTCACCTGCATGCTCATCAACTGAAACTTTTTGTTCTATTATCTTAATATCATGATCGTCTTTTTCTAAATCTGAAATGATATTCCTTTTTTTGTTCATTTTCAGGATTACATGATTGTTTCATATAATTTTGGTGTTTCCTAGAAAACAGACGCACCAATATTCATTCAATCCCCATTTTATTTCGATTCATGAGATAAAATTTATCAATATATGTAGGAAAATTCTGGAAAAAAATGTTCATGAACTTAGAAATTCCTTCATCTTCCACCAGGAATTTTCTTTTTGTTACTTTTGTTACACTTTGATGAACTACATGAATTTGTCTTTGACTTAGGAACACTGTTTGATTGTTTTGAATGTTAGAAGATCTGCTTCCAGCTTCAGACTCCATCATGTTTCACCAAAATTAAGAAAATAATAATCTGTACTCAGTGAGAGGCTGATCCATGTGAGATTTAAAGTGCATTAGGAAGGAGGCCTTCATTGCTCTCCTCCTCCTCTTTTTTTATTTTATCCTTCACTTAAACTGTCCATCAAATTTTTTTTTGTTTTCTTGATCCAGCCCCCCATTCTTCCTCCCTTTCTTAGTACCTTGTCCCGGGGTTAACCGCAGCGGGGACGAGGCATGAGGTCAGCGCTCAGCTCGGCGGCGACCATGTGGTTCCCATCTTCCAATAACATCCCTGTGATTTATGAGCGCCCCACCGCAAACCGAGCGCAGCCCCTTCCACGGTACAGTACCATTGACTTTCTTTACCATAATAAACTGGTCCCAAATCTCCCCAGACCAAGGTGGGAGGTGTGCAAGCATGTGTCTGCCTTTTTAATGTCTAAATAGTTTCAACGTGAAGGTTTGATTAAGAGCAGTGCGCTTACCATTAGCCGGGGGTTTGACGTCTGTGTCTCCTTGCTGGTTTGAACTGTCTGATTGTCCTGATTGTTCTGAGAAAAGAGAAACAGAGAGAAATGCCAGGTAAGTTTGTCGGTTTCTACCAAGGTTAAGGCCGGCGGTTCTCATCAAAGACTCGACAGGAAATATCATCCTCAGATTAAAAATAAAAAAGAAGCAGATTTCCACCTGAGCCGAATTTCTGCTCAAAGTCAAATCGATGCCAAAACTCCGTCAAGTCTCTGCTTCTGGAGTCCGTCTATAATAAGGAAGTTAGACTTTTTATAGAAGTGTTTAAACTCACTTTTCTCACATCACAGGAGAGAAAAACACCTATGAAAATATAGACACACTAGTGTAGGAGTGAGAGGATGGTTGAAAGAATGTCGACCTTCTGGGTGTTGCTTAGATCACGGCAACCTTTACAATCCTAACAGCCTTTATTCCACTTCCTCAAATTTAAAATAAAGTTTTATGAAGTTGAAAAATGTTTACTAATTATCTGTTTTATGAAATGTTTTCATCCCAGGACAGTTTTTTTCTGTATAGTTCTTAAAACCTTTAATCATACATCTATTTTTTTTCTTTATTTAAAAAAAAAAGAGGAAGAAAAAATATTTTTGATGCCTTATGAATTTAGTAGGATTACCATAATTTACTGTCGACATTTAATTCAAATTGTTCACTAAACATAAAACCTTTAAAAATGACCATTTTACAGTTGAAGCCACGGCCATCTTCTCTACGTCTATTCGTTTGACTAATTCTAGTCTTTTAAAAAATATTTTGAAATTTTACATTTCTTTTTTTAGAATTGTGAAATTTAAGCCTAAAAATTTGGTGGAAAACTCCTTCTTTTAAGCTCTTTTACAGAACCAATGGTTTGGATAGCTTTTTTTGGAGCGCATCTCGTTTCCACCGACACTTAAAAAGGATCCAAAAAAATGTACTCTACTACTTATCTAAACCCTGGGATGGTTCACTCGCAGCAAACAGCAAAAAGTAAAATACAAACAAGAACATTAAAAAAAAGGTGTTTTTTCCCATTTTAAGGACATTTGGAATAAGATGATTTAAATCTAAAATAAGAAAAAACAACTTTATTATCTTATTTCTAGTACATAACATTTAAGCATATTATTTTTAAGGGTAAAAATATTCATTTCATTGGCAGATATAGATTTAGATTATGGGTCCCCGTGCATCCAGTGCAGAGGGTTGGACGAAAGAGTGACAAATTTAGTAGAAAACAAAGTCTACCAAAAGATGATGGAGATGTTTGAAATATTTAGAGGAAGGACGAAGGAATAGCTGAGTTATTGGTGGAAAAGGAAAGCAGCTCATTGGTTCTGATCAATCTCAGACCAAACATGCTTTGCTTCCCTCTCCATCAACACCACCTGCAAGACAACTGCATGACATTGTTTAGCCCTGGTTTTAAAAAATCTTTTCATGAAAGCAAACCGGACCAATCTTAGGATTTCACTTTTCCACCTCGTCCATCTAACCAAGTCTAAAGGCTGATTTATACTCAGAATCCATCGTGTGTCTGAACGCAGATATGCCCCCTGCCACAGAGACTCTGCTGCACCTCTCCAAAATAGTAGGTGACCACAGACAGGAGGCCTCTGAGTGGTCAAATCTACATCCGTTCTACACTATGCGGATTTCCTGCTTGGTACCTTAATGGCTTGTTTTGTTTGTATGACCGCCTTTGTGGAAAACGACTCGTGAAGACGCTGGGACCCTTTTTCCACCTGGATTCCTGCTCTTTTTAGCCCTCATGTCCCTCCGTTGTCGCACAATCTTGCCCCCACTTCCTCACCGCCTCGGCCGTATCTAGACCCACAGCTAGTTCCTGATTGTCCCCCTTGCTTCTTGGCGTGGAATAACATAGCGCAAACCACGCTTCAATATTGGGCATAAATCAAAAATGTCTGCAACAAGCTCACTGCGACGCACTGCTGCAGGAGGATAACCAGCCGTTTACAATCTTACATCTCCTAAAGAAGTCATTTTTGTAGAAATGATTAAAACCAGGATCCAAAAGACATTCTGGTAGATATAAGATTGGATAGATGGCAGATTTATCTTGTGGATATAACAGGAATGGTCTCATGCATGCATTTTTTTTTCCTATTTCCATTCAGTAAAAGAGGTATTTTACAGAGCCACGCGTGGCTCGAGGTTACAGACCTTCCTTCACTCTATCTTTTTTTAATGAACCCAGCTGAGATTGAACAGCGGTACATTTTCTGGCTCTGACGCAAACTTTTCCCACTAAAGGCCTTCCACAGAGCTGCCAACTTGTGAGGTGTGCGTTTTCATATTTAAGGTCTAATTTAGGTTGAACCTCCTGTGCGAGTCGACCTTACCGTCTATGGGGGGGGGGGGGGTGACATGCAGGAGTACATGAACTGCCTACTTCAGCGGGTTTTCTTTGGCCTGAGTGTTGTTGTTCTTCCTCTGATGTGTTGTATCATATATAGTGTTTAGGCCAATTACCCCACAGTGCCTGGGGTTTTAAGAGCACATTGAGACAACACTTCTTAGGCAGAGCGTGACCCCCCCGCCCCCCTCCAGCCATAGTCAGGCCTCTCAACATCCCCTAAGCCTAAATCAGAGTCCTAATCTTGGGTGGCAACAGACCATGCCAACAAACTGCTGCACCATTCAGCCCGTCCGCTGGTTGCCAAAACCAAACAAAAGGAGACACGATATCACCTCATGGTTCGACGGGCAAACGGATTATGAGGTCTTTTCTTTTCTAAAAACACTCCTGTCTCGTTCTACAGTGTCGAGGCCAACCCTCAGGTCTTTTTTTTCCCCCCTCCATAACGTCTCTCACACTTGTCGTGTCTCTGATCCTGTGTCTCTCCCGCACCGCCACTCCGTGGAATCCTGGCAGCCATCTTAGCGCTTGGCAGCCATTTTAGATTTGGCGGTACCCGTGCATTCCTGCTAGCTGACAGCACGCACACACATAAAACACACACAGTCACACGCTTAGCTCACTCTCTCTCTCTTGCACAAAGAGCCCCAATGGTCTTAAAGATAAAAAGACCTAAAGAGGATATGCAATGCTAATGGAGACAGGGTAAAAACCGCTGGGACGGATCTCTGCGGTCCTCTGCACTTATAGAAGGCAGTCAAGTTGATCAGGGGAGGCAGGTCTACTTAAAATGGCAAAAAGAGGTGTTTGAAAAACAAATAATTTTGTTGCTCTTGCAGGATAAAAAAAAAAAATCCAGACTACAGAAGCTCAACCCCAACAAACCTGATGGTACATCTCTCTGTATGCAAAAACTATCTCCATGCAAGCCAAAAATCAGTGCCCGGTTGTCACGACAACCCTGATGGCACCATACACTTTCAAGTCCCCTAATGATGAGTGGTTGTTGAGGCCCGCATGCGTGTCTGCGCCGCTCTTTGGCCTTGCAATTAGTTGAAATGGAGATAATAATATAGCTCACTGGCACCGGCTCAACGTGTTGTTTTGTTTAAGATCTCTTGGCACCGAACGGACCGGGAGCTCTGTGCGCTACGCTATCACGAGGTGGACTTTATTGCTATATGAGTTGTTTTCCATTTGAGGGTCTTAAAACTGCTCTAGTTATAAATCAAACATCCTAACTGAGCTCTCTGAACTTCTCTGCCTCCCTCGGCAGCGTGTTAGAAGACTAAACCCTGGGTTTCCAAAGGCAATTCTACTCATAAGCTACCAAAGAAGTGTGTACCAAAGTTTGATCAATCCAAAGTTGTGATCAATCATCCAGATCATTTCTTCCAAACTTTACATTAGTCACTGGGTTTTAATGGTTTCTCCATCTTAGAATAACATAGTTACTACTTGTTGTTGATTTTTATACAAAGGAAACGACAGTTCAGTGAGGTCATTTGTTCCCTCGAATGGTTTCATAACATGAATGAGATCCAGATATTTTACTTTCCAGAATAAAAATAAAAATGAGTCCTAATTCTCCTCATTGAGGCAAGTAGGGCACCTAACAGACTTAGGAAGATGTACTGAGTCTAAACAAGAGAAATATTAGAGGATAGGTAAGGTCTTAAAGATGCTTCTTCCCCTGTTGTGGTTCATATTAAACCCTTATGCCATTTTAAAAAGCTGTAATTAAATGTCTGTCAGATGCTTTGATCCAAATATTACAAGTTATAGGTTTTTAGTTCAAAGGTATGGTAGGGAAGGGGTGTACCATGTGGCTGCTGGAATTATGCAATGTCCAGGACATGCATGCCTACCTTACAGGGACAACACAGGGTAACAGGATTGAGTGTTTCAGTAGTAATGTGGAACCCTAAATATATCCTCTGATGGACTGAGATGGGAGCAGCTTGCCATTTAAAAGTTCACCTCTGTTCCTTTAAATCAAAGGTTTACTATTAGAGGATTTATGAAAATATTATGATCATCTTATTATGGTGAAGCTCTTATATCCATTTAGTGATTGAAAAGTGGTAAGATGGATGGATGGATGGATGGATGGATGGATGGTTGGTTGGATGATGGATGGATGGATGGATGATAGATGGTTGGATGAACAGATGGATGGATGGATGGATGGATGGATGGATGGTTGGTTGGTTGGTTGGAAGATGGATGGTTGGATTGATGGATGGATGGATGATAGATGGTTGGATGATAGATGGTTGTGGGTGGATGATGAATGGATGATGGTTGGATGGATGGTTGGATGAATAGATGGATGGATGGATGGATAGTTTGATGGATTAATGTATGTACGGATGGATGATGGTGAGATAGATGATGGATGGATTGGTGGATGGATGATGGTTGTGGGTGGATGATGAATGGATGATGGTTGGATGGATGGATGGATGAATGGTTGGATGGATGGATGGATGGATGGTTTGTTAGATGGATGGTTGGTTGTATGCATGTATGTACAGATGGATGATGGTGAGATAGATGATGGATGGAGGATAGATGGTTGTGGGTGGATGATGAATGGATGATGGTTGGATGGATTAATGATGGATGGATGGATGGATGGATGGATGGATGGGTGGATGA